AAAGAATTACAGGTTGTACTCGTAATTATAAAAAAATAACTTTAAAACTTGAATGCATATAGTTCATATCTTTATTGTAAATAATCACCTTTACGGCCATCAAATATAAATATATATTTCCTAATTAAATCTTAGTGTTATCGAAATATTATTAAAATTTTCTTGTTGAGATATCCCCCTGAAAATAAGTAGAGGTAGATAAGTCTGGATTATGAACCCTTTTTCCTAGTTAATTAAATAGTCTCTGATAGCGTTTACTTACGTCTCGGTTTATCAACTGTCGTAAGCTGCTTAAGTTTGTCGAAGTTATTATTAAATTATAAATTCGACAATATGTTTGATTATGAAAATAAATTTTACGCCTCGCACTAACATTATTAATTATAACGGTCACAGTGTAGCTGGAAAGTCAAATATTCTACCCGGTTCTCTTAAATGATATGATTACATAGTCGAACATTGTCGGGATGTAGCAATAACAAAGGCAATGTACGACCCTTTAAAGGCTTTACTAATACTATGTTTCTGCTTGTAGACATTGTCCCTTTCAGATTAAAAGGTATATTTATTGATGTAAACAGATTACCGGACGGTATTTTGGTACTTTCATATAAGAAAGTAACTATATTAACAGACTACTAAAAGGGCTTCCGACACGACAATATCTGCGTGAAAAGTAATACAATTTTCTTTGACTCTCTCAAGCACCAAATAGCCACTGTCGAACACACAGGTTCATGAAATTACTTTCAGGAACAGTGATCTTCCACTTTTCTTTATGTAGCTAAATTATACTGTTACATTTTAAAACATATCTCAGAAAGAAAGAAAAATTACCAGACTTGGTTATGCCAAACTCCATAAAAAATAAAATACTACCGCTGCCAGCTTAATATATATTTGAAATTTGTGTCTTTGTACATGGCCATATCAGTTTAGTTGAATTCAATAAAAATGTTACCAGCATATCAGTTAGAAGAAGATATGAGCTGCTTGTACCTAGACAAAATCTAAAAATATGTTCCAATTGTTTATTGTTTTAAATTGTTTTTTATTGTTTTTTTTTTGTGTATTGTAGGTTCATTCGCATTAACAATAAATTGCCTGACATTTTTAAATCGTTAACTTTTCAAAGATTTAAACGCAGTCTTCGAATTCCTTTTACAAAACTGTTACTATTCTTTAAATGACTTTCTAAATGAGCGATTTGACTGAAAATGTTTGACATTAAATTTGTTTTTTGACTTTGTTCTATCTAATTACTTTAATTATTCGAATGTTTTTTGTGGATTTTAATTTAAATTATAACCAGTAAAGTGCCTAAATTAAAATATTTGTAGACCAGATATTAGAATGTTAGATACTAATGAATATAATATAACACATAATGTACTATGTTTTAACAAATAAATTTATCTTTATCTTTACTTCGGACAGACACCGGCAAATCGCTTAGCTTCTGATTAGACGTTTTTGCTTGATTCACATTAGGGCTATTTAATAATCATAAAATGTGAATAGATAGAAATTTTAAACCTCACAAATCTGACCAAAATTCTCTATTGAAGTTTCAATCAAGTCAAGTCACTTTAAGCTTTATTAAGTATATTATGATTAGAAAACTCAAAAATTCAAAATGTTTTCGTTCTTGCGTAGCCGGTAAAAAAACTTCATACATTCTTTAGAATACCTGACCACAGAAATTCCATTTAACTCGCACTATAATAAGTGTGTCACATATTATATGCTTTAGCTACACAGATTTTGCTATACCTACTGGTGTGAAGAGAAATGGGAAGGACTGCTCTGAAAATTTGTTAACACTATTCTCATACAAGATAAATAAATCCTTTTTAAAAAAAAAGTTGAAACGACTTCAAACAAAACTAAAAAAGAGCACTAAAAACCTAGCAGGAAGCGTGCTGGTGGGACTTCGACTTGTTCGCCGGGACTTCGACTTGTTTGACTTATTCTCCGGGAGTCCCACACACGTCCTTCGTTAACACTACGGAGGGTACGGTGCGGAAAGAATTCCCCGCGTTAAAAAAAAGGTACTTTCCGAAGCATCCTTGCCCGGAAAGACCCTGCGTCAATTGGAAGGAAACGGTCACATGCTGCCGCCCTGCCCTCTCGACAATGACCGGCTGGAGCGCCTCCACGACCCCAAAACCAGTACATGGAGCCTCCAATCTCAGTGAATAGATTGGATATGTCAATGTTTGTTTACACAATAGAAATTATAATTTTATTGCAAATCTACAGTTCACAACGTGACTAAGGTAGCCAGCCAGCCAGCGACTTTTTTATTATGTAATAATTGTCAATTGTTACTGAGAGTACGAAAGCGGAAAGGACTCAGTTATATTGAAAACCAATGACCGAGACGCGAGCGGCATATTTTCATCAGCAGATTAACGTTATGAAATATTCAAAAAAAGAAGAGACAAAGAGTTCTAAGTACATAGTTTTAATCATCCAGACAGACGGCGATTAAAAATTGATTCGCGTATTCGCGTCTCTGCTGCTTCCTCTATTGCTATTGGCATTGTAAAGATCGAGTAGGTATAAGTAACGTGAAACGCATAGATGGAACGTTAAACACCCTTAGAATCTATATGGATACTAATATTATCGAATCCTGCATGTCGCGCTGCCTCTATATGATTATGATTTCAAGAATATGGCATTCTTGACGATGCATAGACTTCTACCATGTGAAAAGCTCCTAGAAAAAATCCCAATATAAAGGAAGGAAAAACAATTCTTGTATGGACTTGTATATTAGCTACTGTTTATGGTGAGGATTTTTTTTATTAATAATTATTTAATATTACCATAAAGAGGTAATGAGACTTTGTTAAAATGAAAAGTAGCAGTTAAGAAAAATTTAATTTGTGTTTTTAATGCTAACCTTAAGTAACAAATTGTTTATTAAATATTCATGAAATCAAATTTTATTTACGCAAATATGTATACCTAGTCAATAAAAAATCTAAGATAGTGATATACATTTATTGTTGGGCCTTCAGTTGGTTGGAAAGTATATTTACATTACAAAATAAAAGTTCATTATAAGATATAAATCGGGCTCATGATACTCAATGAAATTAAAGGGATAATATACACATGAATTCCTACAAAGAAATAACGATAAACTAATAATAATAAAAAGCATTTTTTTCCGCCACAATACATTTTTACAAAATTATAGGTTGTTCAATAATTATTCCTACAGTTTATATTGTGGAAGACCTGTGCTTAACTAGACTCACAACCAGTATTTCAGGACACCTTACAATTTTATTACATTTGTGTCAGCGCTTAATATAAATAGGCATGTATACATAGAATTTAATTTATTCTTATATAAAGTGCTTATGCAAGTGCGTGTATATGAATGTGTGGGTTCATGTAGGGGGGGGGGGGGGAATTAATTAAAAAAAAAATTACTAAACCGTCACTGAAACCACATTCATTTTACAAGTATGATCGAATGTAAAAAAAAATAACATTACAAGTTGCCAGATCAAAGTAATGATTAAGTTAAAGTTCACTAAACTTACATTTATATTACTAATGTTGCTCTTAAGTCTATAAACTACCTTTATAAATTTTTGACGAGCGCTATAAGTCTTGTCTTATTTTTTATACAAGAAAACCTTTACTTATTATTAGAGCACTTATAATATATACATACAAACGGATTCAGAAAGCTTCTATTATCAATACATTAACACTTCGTTAATATACTATTACAGTAACATACAGATATTAACAGGTTATGAGCCTAATATCTATGTATCTCAACAACCGCAACTAATAGGTAATACTATACTGTGTTATTCAGTACACATTTACATAAGACGTGTCTTATGTAAATGTACACAATATGTTACACTGAGATGCTAGTAACTATGTATATCGTAATTCTTCTAATCTGAGTATGTATTTCTACGGAAATACAACAAAAATGTATTTCATGCATTCGTTCTAATAATTTTTTACCGGTACATTATACTAAGAGTTCAATACTAACTTCAGCGATAGTACAAAAAAAACACTTAAAATAAGTTACTTACAGGATTGTGAGCAACGTACCTTTTTAATTTTTTTGCCAATTTCACTGTGTGTAAATTCGGTCGGTATTTTTTTTCGTAAATTTTCTAAAAATGAAACCTAGTTACATCGATTAATCGCCCACGAAACCCCCTGCATACTAAATTTCATGAAAATTGTTGGAGCCGTTTCCGATATTCTGATTATATAAATATACATATAGAATTACTCGTTTAAAGGTATTAGATAATTATAAGCCACGATATCAATAGTTACCTAATATTCTTTGAAAAGCAGTACCGTAATCGTACTCGTGTGGTATGGTGCAAATGGAATTACAGTTCTCAATGTTGACTTTCCACAAGCTCCAACACAAAATAGAAAACCTTTCCCCACATGCTATAGACGACCACAATCATATTAAGGCACACAAGCCAAGCCTTGTCACCGCGGCTAAGAGGGAGTTACGCAAAATTTCTTTGTGTCATTTTCTTGCCAAGATTCATACGTTTATTAGCGATCCCTCAAATATTTAGTATTTATTATTATAAGTTTCCACTTCACTGTTAAACTTTTCCATCCATATTTAGTGAGAGTTCAGGATAAATAATTTAAGATTATCCCACAATAATATTTTTTTGTATAAATTATCCGTCTTCTTTTAAATATTTTAAAAGTTTTTGAAAACCTTTATTTTATTTAAAGACAGTGAAAGTAGTTTAGTCAAATTAAAATAAAAATAATCAAAAAAGTGTTATTTACTAGTCTCTAATGTAAGAGTAACAACATCCCAAAACTTCAATAAAGGTAGTCCTGGCTCCTGCGTCACCGAGGAGTTGGAAACCGGATTTTTCACCCCATGATCAAACAAAAAAATGATAGATGAGAGTTTGCAATCTCTCACACATAGTTGCGACTGAGTTTGACATAGACTTTTGTTCCAGGATATCGTACGCGCCAACAGAAGGTCGATTCGACCTGTTGGTGTCGAACGTGTCGTACGAGAGAGACAACGGACGGTTCGAGTGCCGAGTGAAGGCTGGCGGGTCTGGGCGCACTCTACATGCGCAAGGGCACACGCTCACTGTGCTGACGAGCCCACGTGCACCAGTGCTTTCTCCTGGCTCTCACGCTCAATCGCAGGAAGAACGGGAGCTTAATCTCTCATGCTCTAGCTCTGGTGGATCGCCTGAACCGACTATCAAGTAAGTTGATCTTAACTTTTCTTTTATAAACTGAGATATAATTTTATTTTTTTTACATTAATTAAAACTATAATTTTATTTCGTGAGGTTGAAGCCGTTTCCTTTACGTTTAAACTACTTGTATAAAGATACTCGTATTTATGTTTGTTAAAGCTTCAGGATTTTCATGATGAGATCTGTGGTAAGACGCTAAAGGCGCCTTTTTTTTAAGACTATTCGTATGACAGAGACGTATTCACTTCACTAATAGTTGACAAATTAACTTAAACGAAAGAAGGTAAAACCAAGGCGTTTTTTGTTGGACTCGAGGGAATTAACACTGCGTGTTAACCAACCTGCTGTACTTTTAGGGTCACCTGCGTAGAGCAGATGACCTAAAAAGGCTGATCGGTTTTGTTACCTACTGCATTGCTGTAGAGACTGCTTGAACAAATTTCTTTGTTTTCTCTTTTCTGCATAATCAACGTAAATTAAGTTGTAGAACATACATATTTCCATTTTATTTACTTTTACTACATAACATTTCATGATTGTAAAAGCAACTCAAGAAAAGCAAAATTAATTATGTAAGTCTTTGCAGACCCGCCCCTAATATGTGTGCCGGCTTTAAAACTTATCTGAAATGTTAAACACGAAGTTCCAAATTAAACATTTAATTGTAATTGCCTGTTAACATGTATGACTTTGTAAGTTACGCTACGAGTATAATCTGTTAAACAGAAAACAGGTCTTTTGTTCCGTACCCGGTCGTAGGCGATTCGTATTTTGTGATCAACCAGAATATTTTTTCTAACTCCTTACTTTAATCGTACGGCTAAGTAATACAGAAGTTCGTAGTTAAACAATTACATTAATAAAGTTTTATAAAGTTACTGCAGTAATTTACTAATTTAAATTAATATGACTATTGAATAAATTGCAATTACTACGAGCCTTAATAGAATGTTTGTTTTATGTTTAAATTTTTTATTCATATTCCGGTTGTAACAAACACATGTTGTAGTGATATCTTATTTTATTTATACGTTGACTGTGTACGTGACCTCTAATAGAGATGCCTTGATGATGAAGAATTTCCTAATAGCGTAATCCGAAGCATTTTTCATTTTCGTTAAGTAAGAATTCAAATCTCGTGTAATCATGTAATCGCATACTAAGAGGCAATTTATTTAAAAGCATTTACTAAAAACACCTTAAAATAATGTGTTTTAAATTACGTATGTATTCCTTAATATCTAGAATGCAATGCCGAGTATATTCCCGAGAATCCAGATAAAGTTAACAGTGTAACAAAGTCAACCTAAGGTACTTTTACAAGTCCTAATGGCCGAGTAAAGGGACAGACTAGGGCGATGCAGAGTAAATCATTCGATTGCAGGGTTAGCAATAATTGTGGCATTAAGACTCTTTGAAGACCCGTGTGAAGTGGCTATAAGGCCGCTCTGGCACAATGGCCAGGAAGTACTTATGGAGTGCTGGTGGGATTAATGCGAATACTGTTACATGTGACTGTTACAGCATACTTTGTTTACTAAATATACACATATATACGTACGACGTCTAAAAACACGAATGCAATTCACGTTCCAAAATAATGTATTAGATAAGTTGCTTAAGACTCCGAAAAATAGAAGTAATTAATAGCAATTCTCTGAGCCCAAATCGTAGGCTATCGCCATAATATTGCCCTCGATGCTTTAATTATTCATTAATACATCTGCCATTATCCGAAATCAGTTATATTTTGTAGATGAACATATTGTGATGTTCTAACACGAAAATTGTGCATAAAATTAGTTGTCATAACGCCTAAAGGAATTAAAGAGAAAATGTACCTGTCATTTATTAAATTTACCTGTACGCCATGTTTGATTAAGGCGTAATTGTGTTAAAAAAAACAGTAATAGCATTGTTGTGTATCCAAATCCTTTCGATACTAAATAAACAAAAGAGTTTAATTTCTCAAAAACCTGATTCAGTGACCGACTATTGATAAAGGAAACGATAAAAAGAAAGTATTATTATCTGTAAAATTATTAAAATTATAAACAACTGCCTCCGTGGTGCAGTGGTTGTGTGTGTGAATGCTGTGCTGAGGTCTCGGGTTAGATTGCCGGGTTGGACCAAATGTTTGTATGAACTGCAAATATTTGTTTCGGAGTTTGAGTGTTTACTTTATATAATATGTATGTATTTACAAACAAAAAGCATATAAGTATCAATCTAGCTTTATAGTACAAACTCTGCTTAGTTTGAAACTACCATCTAGTTTAGGCGGTGACACTTTGTATTGTTAATCCATTACCACACGGACAGCTACTCGTTTATAATGAAAATAAGAAGTTTCGTAATGTTTTAATAAAATATTACTAAAGAATAATATTTAAAAGAATATTTTTTTTTTATTCTGTTCTATTATTACTTTCATGGCTTAACAATTTCTATCCGAATGCATATCAAATACCGATATTCACGGTCAGTGTAGTCTGGCGCTAAGTGGGCACTGCGTCATTAACAGTCCACCTCTCTATTCTCCAAGTGTTCGTACCAAACCGTAATTGGCTTTTACCTAACGCATTAGAAACGGCAAGATAAAAAGCTGATAAATACGGTGATAAATTTCATGTAAGTAGTGACTCGGATTCAATTAGAGTAGGGGTGGAGGCTGGGTACGATACCCAGAGACCAGATTTTTGTCGAAAGGACAATTGCCTCCTATAGACATAAAGCTGGTTGAAATGACGTCTAAGCTGTTTTTGGGTCCTTCCTATTTTAGGCACAGTATGGGTGACGGTTAAAGGGGTTTTCACAAGCTCAAAAAAAATATGGTATTAATGACGAAGCAGATTTATTTAAAAGAAATTAAATGCTTAATTGCTAAACACATCATTAGTTATAATTTAAAATATAACACGAAAATCTAAGTGGCGTGCAATAGGGAAGGCATATCTTCAGCAATGGACTGCTATAGGCTGATGATGATGATTTACAACACGTACTGTAGGCTAGATTTAAGTTAGCGTATCACAGAGAAAAAAAACGTTTTACCATATCACAACCACGGCAACTCATGTTCTTTCATGTCACTTGTTTCTAAGTATTTTATTAATAAACTAGCTATTAGTAACTTTTCAAAAACACGAACTGCCATACAACCGTCCAACCCTTATTTCGGCCTATTAGGGTTGAATTTCCAAAAGTCCTTTCTTAGTCTTACAAAATATAAAGCATCAGATACCAAATTTTCAAGTCTGTAGCCCCGGCGGTTTATGTTCTACGTTCGTGAACCCGTCAATTAGGGCAAGCAATTTTGTATGTATAGATCACATGGTATAGATGTATAAATTGTCTAAAAAGCCGGCTATTACCTGTTCAGTGTGGACATTCTATGCTGAGAAGTGAGTGCTGCTGATGGTTGATAGCCCTTCCTAATTTGATAAGTTAATGAAATACAACATTTGTACCTCGCAATTATCAACGGTGACGAAAACAACAGCGTCAATCACCCGAGAAAGAGCGTTAATATCTTATTTTTTAGGATAGTCACACGTCAGTCTGATCCCAAACTAGGCAGAGCCTGCGCTATGGTAGCCAGACTGCCGATAAACATACTTAAATATTTCTATATACATATTATAGATTAATCACACCCAGACACAGAACAAGTGGCTCATCACAGAATATTTGTTCTGGGTGGGAATCGAACCCACCTCCTCCAACTTCGCAGTCAGGGTCATTAACCACTTGACCAACAGAATGTTCATTATCATCATCAACAACCTTTATCAGACGTTAGGGTTTGTTTTAAGTTTTCTAACTCTTTGCAGTGCTCCTGTCAGTAGAAACCATGTAAGGTAGGTGTACATAGGTTGCATATGTAATCAATGAAAATAAATGTTTTCAAATCAATGAATATATATATATATATACGAAGATATTTGTTCAAAATTTATATGAAACCATCTAAAATTAATAAATAGGTGCCGCCTAAAATACATCCTTGCATTAGTATAAATTCTTCTGGCTGTCCGGTAAAACACACATTATTCAGGTATTTTAGTGCATATGTTACGTCATGGCAGGCACTATTTTGCATAAGAAGGTCGGCATCTCGGTCGGATGAAAATAGGTGTTCTGGATTCACGTGACACAATTACTCACGTACAAAAACCCTCTAACGCTTATACGTCACGTGTCCCGGATATTTGGACTGTGCGCAAGTGAATATTGAGACATGAAGAAGAAAACAGTACAATCTATTTTGACACACTTTAGGTCCCTCGTAACTATTATTTATCATTAAAAGAACTGTTAATCACACTCTTGTGCGTACCGGTTAAATTAATGTGGTGTTTTTATCAAATGTATGTATTATCTATCCCATTCTACATGAAATATGTATTAAACTATCAGCTATTCTTTGAATATTAGTATCTCAAGGAACAAGTTACTTTTAGATATGACCGAGAAAAGTGTACAAAAAGAAACAAAATGAGATTTCAGAAACTTTAAGAAAACTATTTGATATGCCGACGAAGATCAGCTTTGACAAAGTTATGTTAATTAATAGTGTTCACAGTTCAAATAGTAGGGTTGGATTATATAATAGCTATACTTTAAATATAACTAAGTAAAATTAGGAGACATGCAAAAAAAACATTTATTTATCAGTAGGTCGAGCACACAAAAACGATGTACTTATCTTATAATTTCCATAACATTTCTTAGTGTAGTTTTTAATCTATGTGTATAGATTAAGATATTTTGACTTTTGAAAACATTACATTATAACTCTAACATACTTGGTCAAATCATACGTAAAACTTAGTTCAATAACCCCTGGTACTAAATACTGAAACCAAAATAATGATTTTATTTATAAATGCAGACTTGCGATGCAAGTGTTTTATTCTATGTGTATAGAGCGTTTTATTTTTGCCTTCTAAATAAGCCCATCTTAATCAAATGTCTTGATTTGGAGCGTTCTTTTAGGTCTCACATATCACAAGGGGCTAATTCTGGCTAGAATGGAGAATAAGGTGGGTGGGGAATTAACTCGAAGCCCAATGCATTTAGTTTGGTCATCGGTAGACGTGACTAGGCGCATTATCCTGATGAAAGATCACTTTCTTTCTTCATTTGAGGCCGTTTTTCCTTGATTCCGTATTTTAATCGTTTTAGTAATTCTATGTTATTTTTGATGCTTTTATTTTTCTCCTTATCAAGGTAGTCTGTGAAGTTAAAGTTGGTGAAAAATCAAAACAGTTTTAATATACTCGTATGCCCAAAATCTAAGTTAGTCTCGGGCCTTATTGAAAGATCTAATATATTAAAAAAAGTAACCAGGCATCAACTTTACATTACTTTTAAAAATTTGTAAACAACGACAGATATTTAAGCCCGGTCGAAAGGTGATATTAAGCGTAATTAGTATCACAAAATCATCATTAAACCAGTTTATTCGCTGAAATATCCTTATCTTTAGAGCTAAAATTTAATTTCTAATTAAAATAATAATATGTTCACGACATCGGCTCATAAATTGAACCGTTCAAAGTTCGTAGCTTACACCTGCGCGTTCTTGTCTCAACTTACCAAAAAGTTGTGGCTTTGATAGGAATTTCGAAGCCCTTATTAATAGGTATCAAGGACCATATTACGAGTAGCGACGGTGAAACATACCTCCTTATTATTAAACCATAAAACACTGTAAAACATGTTTAATGGAGAAGAAAATCCAAACAACTGCTCGTACAAAATTAGACGCAAGTTTTTAGAACAGCTTGAACGCGAACCATAGGAACCTTCGAGTTTAAATTTTAAATTCTATTCTGTGAGGGATCTAACATAAATATGGGTACGATGCTTTTGATACATATGGGTTGAGCACAATGTGCCTGTATGTAATTGTTAGGATGCTGCGGCACTGCGCAACACATTTGCGAATGTTAATGTATTTTTGTATAAATTCTCAAACACTGGAGTATAATTAAATATCATTATCCGTACGTACCCCATAATATATGTCCGCGGAATGTCCACTCGTTACAACAAACGCGCTAATTACTTTCAAACACAGTATGATAATATTTTATTAATTTCCATGCAATTTAAAATTTTGAATGTAAAACAGAAAACAAGTTTATTATAATTACCCTTTGGATATACATATACTTACTTACTATTATTATTACTAATGCTACTATTATTATACTTTAAAATACGTATATGATTTTACAATAGTAATTTGAATATAATATATGAAGTCGTAATTTGTTCTATAAATTTCAACACAGCCATCTTTCAGTCTTTATGACGTCACACTTTGTTCTGTGTTATCAACTATTACATTTAAAAAAACCTTAGTACTGAGGAAAGTATGAAATATATTATTTTTATTATTCGTGTCTAATTTGTTCGAGTTCTAATTTAGACCCAAACTTTAGACGTAACGTAACGCTATAAGTTATTACACTCTTTTGTAAGTTTTATCACGATCAGCGCTGTAACTAGTACAGAAGAATGACCTTCATGTATAATCATCGGTGATATTGTTTCTATCGCATTTAACCGGATTAAATTGTCGAAAAAAGTGATGTAAATTATTTCATTTTCTCAAAAAACAATAATTATCAATAGGTGTAAAAAAATTACTTGAGATCTTTTTTATTAAGTGTTATTGTTTGATATGATATATGTTACACGATATTACGAAAATACTGTAATGCACAATAAAGTTGTAAAATTCAAAATACTGTGCTCTGTGTTACGATTTTTCTTTTAACATTACATTCATGGCTGGACATCTGTAATACGATCTGTATTCCTAGTGCAGATTCTAGTCTGATACAGAATATTTATAAATGTTTTACATAGGTATGCTGTCCTTATTATTAATTATGATTGTAAACTGTGAGAGAAAACAATAAAGTTATTTGTAGAAGCACTCGACTAAGTTACCTAGCAATTATCTAGCAAAATCGACACTACATCAAACAAGAGCAAGCTTACATGAAAGAAAACTGCCCAAACTCCCAGAAATATTAACGTAACGCAACTCACAAACTCTCTCCACTAAAATTAAAATGCAGTTGTAATTACTCTTTGGACTATTTAACTGTTTTAAGGGAAGGAAATCTACTTTCAAGAATGTTAGACTTTCCGCTTTAATTTGCCTGTTTTTAAGTGAGCACCAAAGCGACTGTCATGTATCACTCAGGTGGCTTAATAGAAGAAATTGTTGGTTTAACACCCTTTAAAATTGCTCTAATATTTGTTAATGATCATTTTGTGGCATCTTTTACATTATACCCATCTCAATAAAAGGTGTGCTTATGAGATGATGTTTAAGCACTAATACTACCCTGTAACAAATGTGTGTTACTGTCTTAACCACATAATATTAAACGAGATTGTTTGGTACTAAAAGGAAGACCCTGTTCTCGTATTTCAATTACGCAAATAGTCGTTAAACGACCTTAAATATCATTTTCCAAGAACCTGAGGATATAGTAAGTTAGTGTTTAAATCCAAAAATGCCAAGAGCCTCGACCAACACCTTAAGAGGCTTACGTGAGACGGCTGGATCGGGGGTCTGATGTAGAAGGCAGTTCCCCTTGACACGGCGCGTATAGTGAGGAGGTTCCTGTCTTTGGAGTCCTAACCACCGGTGTCTTGGTCACCGACATAGGGTACAGGGCCCTATGTCGGTGGTCTCCTATTTTTTAATTTTTTAATGGTTTTTTTTTCTTTTATAATATATTTAAAAATGTAATCAATATGTATATATTACAGTGTAATAAAGCTAATAATAATAACGTCACACATCTCACACACCGACGTCTGATTTCAAACTAGGTAGAGCCTGTGCTGTGATAACCAGATTGCTGATAAACATACACATATTTATAAATACATACACATTATAGATAAATTACACCCAGACACAGAACAAACTCATCACACAATTATTTTGGGGTGGGAATCGATCTCACTACCTCTGGGTCAGGGACTACTAGACCAACAGGCCCGTCATAACCACTTTAGAATAGAATAATCTTCATTGTACACCAATTACAATATGTTAGATAAATATTACAAAAAGATATGTACTAAAGTGCATGAATACTGCGAAAATAAGCTTGTCGATATCGCTCTGCCGATGATGTAAAATATTACTTAAAATTTACGTAATAAGCAAACACTTAATTGTAAATTTTTTTTCTTAGGTGGTACCGGGAAGGTTCAACATACCCCATGGAGGCGACGATAGTACATGCCAAGACGCGCTCGGAGCCTACAGTAGCCACGCTCACACTGATGCCAACGAGACAAGATGATGGAGCAGTATTCCGTTGTGTAGTGTGGAACCGAGCTATGTCTGAGGGACAGCAACTCGAGGCATCAGTTGAGCTTAGTGTTAATTGTAAGTAGTTTTTTTTTTTAAATTAAATACTTTGAAAGTTTTAGTTTTACTTCGACACTGAATTATCTTTTAACATGGATGGATTTTTACTTTAGATAAACGCATATTAATTAGATACTAAATTTGATCTGAAAATGTACTGTTGAAGTAAATTCCAAGTTAAGTATTTAAGTATACTAATTAATTGAAATATTTGCCCTTGAAAAGTTTACGATTGGTTTGTTTGCAGAGGCTTTGTTTGCTAAGCTCTCGTTAGCATGCTCTGTCTTTGCATTCCTTTTCGTTATTTTATGAGGGAATCTTATCCCGGCTGGAAATAACAGCATGAATAAAAGTAGTCCTATTCTGTCTCGCCAAGATCATCTAAGGATACTACCATTATTATGAACATTACTTCTATTTCAATTTAAATTATTCAAACAATTTCAGTCGCAATGGTTTATCGTACGTATTATTGAATCTTATCATGTCGATCAAGAGATCGGTCGATCTGCTTAAGACTTCAGGAAAGTACCCTATAAATTTTGATGATCGTCAGTAAGTCAGTGACGAAATCGGGGTTTTTTATATAATTGTACGTTTATTTAAGTCTACTATTGACATCATACTGCGAAAATTTTGTTCATCTGGTATAATCCAAACCCAAGTTATGAGGGTTAAAAAAAATGACGAAGCACTACGAGAAAAGGTAGGTAGTGCTCTTAAGCTTCACTTGGCTCGTCTTGGCTGGAGCGTGCCCCTAGATTTGTCAGTCATTGTCATATATAAATACATTTTACAAAGTATGTAAAAAATTATAATTTTGGAAATAATAAGTTAAGTATATCATTTCAGACATGGGTTACTAAAACATTTAGTTCGTTAATTGATATGAGAGAGAATGAGTTCTGATTTGTGAACTTATCTGTACCTATTGTATTTTTCTAAATGCTGTTCACGGGTTGTAATTTAAATATATGATCTAGATCGTTACCATCACGAGGAGAAAAATTGTGAAATATCCTTAAAAATTAATTTTAGAACACTAAAAAGACTAGCTGGGATGATTAAACAATATCAGTGATGTCATCAATAGCGAGAATAGATTACATGATAATCTTGTTTTAAAAGCCTAGACAGATTAAGGCTAAATAGATTAAAATATTTCCGTAACAGGAATCATTTCATTATTCGGAAGAGACTAGGAACAGCAGAAAAATACAAGCCTACATATAAACCGGGCAAGATAATTATAGTGAAGGTCTATCAGGTGCAAATATTCTCATACAAACAGCGTTTAAAACGAACACACGCCATATACATGTGTATTAGTGATTTAATATCAATGTACTGTCGTATAATTTTCGCGTCTTTGTTAAATGTGTTTATTAGAAATATTGGCTTTTAAAAATTATCCACTCATAAAAATTAAAAAAAAAAAAAAACTTCAAGCCTAATTAACGCTTTAAGAGTCTTAACAAAAACTTTAGATATCTATATTGTTTTATCTAATGTTAAACATTTAAAAAAGTATACATACAGTACCTACACGTAGGTACTTATAAAAAAAATGTTTCCTTTTAGAGACTTGTGCATATTATAATGATTGAATTGAATAAATTATAAATACATTCCGCTACAATTGAACTATTAGCAAGCAAAAATTGTTATCAATTTACTTACCCAAAAAAAAAATCGTGTTTAACTATAAGGGACATCTCCTTCCTTCCTTACTCCGAGCTTTTTTCCCAAACTAGGTTGAGGTCGGCTTTAAGTCTACTACGATACGGCTGAACTTTGATTTTTTACACAAAGCGACTGCCATCAAACCTATACAACCCAAGTATTTGGCGATATCGAAGTTCTGTAGAAAGAGTTTTGTCGGACTTTTTAGCGCACTACCTGTAACCTACCTACCTATAACTACCTGTAACGATAGCCACAGATGTTCGTATGGCAACGTGACTGACGGCTCAACGTGCTCTCCGAGGCACGGAGGAGTCTGAATAACTTACCAGTGGTCACCCATCCATGGACTGACCTGGCTAGGCTTGCTTAACTTTGCAATGTGTTAATCTATTTGGTTACTGAAGCCCCTAAAAGGGACGTCACCACGAAAAATTAAATGACTATATATACAATTTACAACGTTTAGAATCTAAACTGGGAGTATCTTTTTTCCATCTGTAATACTACTCGTATCTGACTGCTTATAACATAATAAGGGGCTAGATACGTGTAGTTTAGTTATTACGTTTGCCTTTCCTTTGTGTTGCTATAACATATTGGACAGCAGTAAATTGTTTGCCAGCTTTTGGGTTTTACCAAAACTTAAAGCAAAAAAATCTGTGGTGACACATGGACAGACGTACAGACCGACAGACGGACAAGAAAGTGACCTTATAAGGGTTCCTTTTTTACCTTTTGAGGTACGGAACCCTAAAAACGATGTCCTGAATAAAATGCAGTTCAATATGATTTTACTAATGTTAATCGATGGTATAAAATATCCCGATCGACCTTACCACAATCTAATGGAAAATTATTGTGTAAAAATAAAACAAATAAATCTGCAATTCAATTATTGATTTTTAGATTCGTAGTCAAGATTAATTTATTAGAATGAATAAAATCTTGATTCTATTTTTATTTTATATCATCCTAGTTTATACTGTGTACTATACAATGTAATGAAACCAGAGTGTTTAATTGTTTAATTAAACTCGCTTATCTCTGGAACTACTAGACGGTTTTATGAAATAATATGTTAGTATTGAATAGAGATCATTGAGGAAGATATAGTCTATGCAGTAGCGAGGGTTAAGTGTTGCAGTGGTACACGGGTGGACTGCGATAAACGGCCACCTTAAAAAATGGTAACATGGTACAGCAAAAGTACTTAAGAGGGATATTTCTATCAGATTCGGACATCAGATTAGTTTTTTTACATAACTGATTCGACTGTATATTTCAAGAATTTAACAAAGGTTGAACTATCTACATTATCGCAATAAAAGTTTAGCTGTCATTAGATCTTAGCCATTTATTTACCTTAGACGAATTTAACCATTAATAGCACTCGCAGTCCACCAAAATATAAAAAAACGGAACAGAACTTTTTTAGGAATTTAAAGCGTACACAAACTAACTTAACATATTATATATAGAGATATTATATATAGACAACACAGATAGAGTAGTGCTTTAAGTGGTCGCCACGCCGCTTACTACTACACTGAGTGTTGCGGGTCCAATCCCCACATGCAACGACACTTTGTATGATCCACAAATTGTTGTTCTGAGTCTGGGTGTTCTTTGTGTCCCTTTCATGTATTTTTTTTTATGTTAGAGGGGGCACACGAGCAGACTCACCTGATGGAAAGTAACTATCGCCGCCCTTGAACGTCTGCAACTTAGGAGTCACAAACGCGTTGCCGGCCTTTTGTATGTTTGTAAAGTCCCTCGCGACACAGGATATATTCCTAATGCGGGAGTTGTCTTTTTCAAAAAAAAAAGATATTTATCCACTTGACATATACATTTACCTTTCATTTGGTACTCCAGTCATTTGATTGAATTCAAATATTTGGAGCGCTTGATACGAATATTTTGCATCATTTATTATCTCAGAATTAGTATTACATTTTAACTTACTACTAAATATAATACTGATATTAGTATTTATGTAGATTAATCCTTTGAAATATGATTTATTCATATTCTTCCTTTTAAACTTTAAAGGTTTAGACCTAAATATTAATATTACGTAGTTAATGTAATAAAGTATTGTCTTACTTACTGCTTTATTAGCATTATAATAATAATTTTGGCTGTAATATTCAAAATCTAACAGAACGTAGTGAGTGGTTAAAGTGAATAAATATTTATCAAGGCTTTATACCTACAGTGTGTACATGTAAATAACGTAAAATTTTAAGCTTTTCTAATTTATAAGCCGATTTTAATTACTTTTAACTTGATTGAACTAATTACTTGTTTGAACTAAAAAATCACTCCCTGTAAATAAGATCAAGAAAATAATCTGTAAGAACCGCAAAACAAGTTCTGTAGAACAACCAACGAGTGTCATAAAAGTATCAGCAGAGCTCACATGTGGAGTGTAAAGAGGCAATGTGCACAATGTTTGTGCGGGCTATTTTCCATCTAAGGCTCAGGGATCCCTGAGCGAAGCCAGCGGCCCTCAAGGCAAATGAAAAAGCTCTTAGCAAATAACCGGAATGGAGTAAAGTAGTCATATTTCTTTGAGAAAGAAATTCTATCTGTTATAGTTTACAGTAGTTGATTGAAAAAAAATGAAAGCTTGATAACAATTTTCGCTTTACCATTGTTTTGCACATTAATTCTTATGTATAAGTAAGTATCAGTCAAAAACAAAAATCTGGATACATTAATTAAGTTTAAAATTAATTATAACGTCGACCTAATTATCTGTAATCTGGTCAAGACCACTAAAATATTATAAACTGTGCATAATTATTGAACTTTCTGGCGATAACTTTAGCAGTTACTACTTTGCAGCACTAAAGTGCACAAATTCGTTTGAGCATTCAGTATGTTTAATTAGTGTTAATTCTTTAGGAAATTTTTGCTACACGAGCTGGAATTTTTCGTCCAAGGTTGTCAAAGGTTGATTTTCTTTTAAGACTACTGAACCGCTAGTACTCGCGTGAATACTCTGGCTACATTATAAGTTAATGTTTGATCGATGTATCGAAAATACATTTGGCAATCTAATATGAAAATGTTTGCCAATTCGACTGTTCCGATATTCTTTATCTGCCACTTAAGAAAGCTTGGACCTCTTTAATTATTAAAATCCTGCAATAAATAATCCTATAACCTCAAAATATAAGGTTTCGTCTATGATTTTTTATATACACTTAGTTCATTTTTAATACGTATATTTACCAGTGAACTACATCCAATGAATCTAACAACTTTTATTCCAGCTACTTAATACAAGTATGTATGTGGTTAAAACTTTTTGTTATTACAGTCTTCATCTGTGTTAACTTATTCATTCATCAGTCATTATGCAAATACAACAGATTATTATACTTAAGGGCTCAAAAATATTCCTTGAATTTATTACTAAAAAATGCCTGTATCTTTTACTTTTTTAACCTTCACCGTGCGACTCTACTGTAGAATGTTTAAATCAATTCAACTCAAATGCTCAATCATATATGTATATTAGTGAGTGAGGAAAGTATAATAAAAGTGGATTGTTGTACGACTGTGTATTCTTAAAAAAGGCTTACAACTGCAATAAAACGAGTTCAATCGACAAAGTCTGACTTATTAATTTTTCTTTGTGAACAAAATGTACCTCTTGTTTAATACATGAGAGGTTGTGTATACGTGTTGTTTTTTTATAAATTTCTTTTAAAAACAGATGGCGATTGTACTCGTATGTGTATGTGGCAGTATAGTATATATATAATATGAAATTGGATATTCACCATCATTAGAGAGACATTAAGGCTGATGTACTGAACTAAATAAAAACTTGCATATTATTTAACAAAAAGCGAACTTACCTCTATACTTAGAATGTTATTGTTTTATTCTCCCCATTAAGTTAATATTTGCAATTTTTAAACATTTACTTACTTTACGGGTTATCCAGGAAAACGTTAAATTGCAAACTTGGCATTTAACGATTTGTAAGTATAATGTTTCAGTATTTTTGTGTGTATTCAAATTAACAAACGTTGTTAAATTATATACCATCAGTTTTGTGTAGCGGGAAAACTAACGAACAAGCTAAACGTTTAATAAGTTTTGTGGTACTGCTATATAGCACATGGTTTTTATGTCATACTTACTTTATTAGACCGGAGCTAAAGTTTTTAAACTACTATTTCTAAATCAGGTTATTTAAAAATGAATAAGGAAACAAAACTAACTTATCCTCGATCAGCACTTGCATTTCCGAGTAACATCTGGCCAATGTTTATGATGAACTGACCTGAATAAGCAACATCTTACCAGATGAAGCACACGCACCATGAACGCGAGCACTACATGTTTTTAATCTGGCAGATTCTATAAACAAAATTTATTATTGGTATTCGTGCTGCAAACGGACCAGCACATCCGCTTCCTTTCTATAGCGCTTAAGATTATAAACCAGCCACTGCCTAAATATTTTGTTAGAGATGAAGTATTTTACTTTCATGTTGATTGATGAATGTATTATTTCATGATTTGATGTTGTTATTTCATGTTTTTTTTGTATAACCAATAGCTCACATAAAATTAAGATATTTAAACAATATTCCTTTGTTGCAGATTTTCCCCGAGTTGAAGTAGCACCAGAAAATCCTTTAAGAGTAGAAATTGACGGAGTGGCCACAATGGAGTGTAAAGTTGATGCTAAACCAAAAGTAAGCTCCGTAAAATGGACTAGAGATGGCAAACATATCTCGAACTCCTTTACTCATACAATTCAAGGTGTGACAGTGCAAGACGCCGGCAAATATACCTGTAGTGCTAACAATGGATTAGGGCGTTCAGGAGAGAAGGAAATGTATCTCGATGTGCTATTCCCTCCCACCGTTACTGTCGAATCTAAAACTTACGAGGCCGAAGAAGGTGGCAATGTTGAAATTCACTGCGAAGTATCGGCAAATCCAGAACCTATATCCATTGAATGGACAAAGGAAGGAATGCCTGAATTTCACCAAAGTGGAAATATTCTTTCGTTAACTAAAGTAAATGCCGATGTGGCTGGTACTTATGTTTGTAAAGCAATTAATGTGATATCCGCCAGCAACGGGAAGCGCAAGGACAAAGAAAGCAGCGCATCGGTTGCTGTGTTAGTGCGACATAAACCTGGTCGTGCGCAAATTAGTCCTGATCGACCAGTTGCTCAGGAAGGAGCAGGTGTCACGCTTACTTGTAGTGCCAAACCTCCAGGGTGGCCTGCGCCACAGTACCGATGGTTTAGAAATACCGAACCGTCAGATACCAAACCGACAGTACTGGCTACAGGAAGTCAATATTCAATACCTAGCGCACACTTAGGGAGTGAGGGCATTTATCACTGTCAAGCTACTAATGAGTTAGGCCACGGTGATCTCGCATCGGTTACTTTAGAAGTCCACCAACCGCCTCGCTTTCAAACAAAGTTACAAACCCATATGACGAAGCGTTCTGGGGAAGAAGATTTTTCGGTCACTTGCAGTGCACTCGGAAAACCACGGCCAAATGTCAAATGGTTCAAGGACAACGCTGAGATTAAGCCAGACACTAATATGTATGAAGTGAAAACTGATATAACTGAGAATAGAAATCTTGTATATAATGTTCAAAGTACTCTGAAATTTCACGGAAAAGCGCGAGCCAATACTAACGATCTACTACCGGATGATAGAGGACTGTATTCATGTGCTTTCGAAAACGAAGTTAAAAAGGTTGAGTCTACAATGCATCTTCGAATAGAACGTAAGTGAAAATATTACTTAATATTATATTATATAAGAGTATATTATTGCACTTGAATAATTAACATGTTTTTGGACTATCTTTGAACAGTGTTTATCATTACCTTAATTATTGTATTTGTATTACAGACGAACCAATATCAATTCGACAACAAAAAAAAGTGGCATACGATGTTATGGAAAGTGCTGAAATATTGTGCAGGGTTCAAGCCTACCCAAAACCAGAGTTCCAATGGTTTTACGGTTCCAACACAGCTCCATTGCAAATGTCATCTGATGGACACTATGAAATCAATACTACAACCGATAATAACGATTCATACCTTAGCATTTTAAAAATAAAAACTGTAAAGCCTCAAGACTACGGTGATTACTATTGCAAAGTTAAAAACTCACTAGGAAGTATAAGACCGCAAATAAAACTGCAACCTAAAGGCGCTCCCGAATCACCTCGTTCTCTAGAGAGTCAGAAAGTAGGCCCGACGTATATTACTTTGAAATGGGAAGCAGGTTTCGAAGGAGGATTATCAAGTACAAAATATTTTATTCGGTATCGTCGTGTGTCACTTCGAGGGGCAGGTGCGGGAGCCACGAGTTCTGAACATTGCGCTACTGATCGACACACCGAGTTCGACTGGATGGAGTACGACTGCGGCCGGGCAAACCCTTGCAATGTCACACGACTTGATCAGCACAACACGTATTCGTTCAAAGTAAGTTATGCATCTAATTCATGTTGTGTTGTGTGTTTACAAATAAATAAATCGTAATATTAAGTAGTAATTTAACACCTAAATTAATAAAGTGTGCATATGAATTACAAATATTTTTGTCTAAATATGACTGCACTGGCGAGGTTAGGAGCAATAAATCCAGGGAAGAATATACAATTATGTGGAGCAATAATTATATATTTTATATATATTATTAAATTGCACACATTGTACAAAACAGTACATATAAAGATCAAGACAGTGAGTTTACAGGCTGTATTGCTGGTTAACGATTGACATTCTGCCACAGAGTAATAGTGATCGTGATTCATTAAAGCACCATATTTAATAGAATTTTGCGAGTCACATAGTCACGTCTAAGTAATTTTCTTTCAAGGAAAAAACATGATACCTTCTTGGTTTATATTTTTTATATGATAAATACAAAAGGAATATTAAATATTTTTCCCTGCATACACTACTCGACAATACATGTTCGATACATAATAAATTTTCATTTTAATAAAACAAAATCTCACTTAATAGTTAATTTCACAATAGGATACCTAGTGACTTTATCGGTGGAACCGCACTTTAACTCATTTCAAAGAAAACATTAAAAAAAACATCCACTAATTTGTTTTAGTGTTCAAGTTGTTGTTTATTCAAAATACGGTTATTAACTTACATTTTTGTTTGTTTTCATTCTTATCGCCACCGACAGCATCTCACATTTGTTTTCAAGGTAAATCATCCGGCGCGCGCCGTTAGTTTATTAAAACTTTCTTTATGTTTTTCGCATTGTGCCGTCGCTATGGTTTTCGACACGCTTTAAAATGCGCACAAACTAGTGTTATGCTAATACTCAATCGTCATCTAAATTAAAACTTCAACTTCAGGTGAAAGCTGTTAATACAAAAGGCCAGAGTAATTACTCTAATGAAATCACGGTGACAACAAAGGTGGACAAAATCAATCCTCCTGAACAGGTGACCTACGACCCAAGCACGCAAAATATAGTTTTTACAGTTACTCCTACTTGCCTATCTCTCGTGGGAGTTGTGGAAGGTATATCTACTACGAGTGGTTCATCTGTATGGCAGGTAATTATTTTTTTGTATATATTATTTTTATTTACTTTTATATCATAAATCACGACCACGATATCTTCGCTAATGCTCACACTAATCTACTGCTTGGCGTATAGATATTTCTACACATTACTTTATTTCAATAAACAAGATTATTTTTATGACTTTATACTTTAGTAAAACTACAACTACAGAACTTACATTATACACAAATTAAGTAAAAAGTAAGTCAGTCCCAAATAATGCTTTATTAAAAAGCAAATACAGTTTTGTTATAATAAAATTGAATGAAAATATATTGGATAGCCCCTTTTCATCTAAATCGTACTCTAACTAACTTTAACTATACATATACTATGTATGCATAAAATGCCAAAACTCGCTATTTTGTACAAACGTCACGTCACCAGATTTCCATTAAACAATATATCCCCTTACGAGTCATTAATGAATTGCCCTAATAAATATATGTATAATGTACATCTAAAGATGCTTAATATATCGGATATCATATATCGGATAATATTTTGTCGGAATGATACCTGAGTTAAGTTTCAGGTTATTTTAGGTTTCTATTTTTATTTCCACTAATTCAAAAGGCTAATTCGACACTATTTATTTGTAACAGGTAATAGATACAGTAAATCTCCGACTGTCGGGTGCGGTAGCGACAGTTCAAGAAGCTACTGTGGAACTACCTAGCAAAGCAATGCGCAAGACCACACGGTACGCAACAGATATGCCTCATGAAAACGATCCTAAAATACGACTCAAACTCTGTCTACAAGTTAATCAAGAAGTGTGCAGTGAATATACTGATGCTGAGAGTAAGTTTGTTACATCACTAATACATAATGGTAGTATTATAATAACTGTAAATACCTCTCTTTTGCTTTATAATTCAACGCTCTACCATCCCTTAAGGTTCTTAATAAAGATAAAAATTCATTTCAAGATAAAATATCAATTAATTTGTTTACATCTTTCATTTCGTAAAACTGGAAAAACCTTTATTTTATCTATATACTTGTTATAGTCTGCCATTATTTATAGTTTATACTTGTTTTTAAACGTAGTTTTTATTTCACAGTTGGACCATCCTACATCAAAGAATCCTACGGAAGTACGACAGCAGCTATTGTTGGAATATTTGTAACAGCATCTGTTGTTCTTCTCTTCGTGGGCCTATTATTCTTAATTTACCAGTGCCGACGAAGACCTAAGAAGAAAGATAGGTCAAAAGACCACGAAATGGATTCAATGAGACCATCTAAAGTAACACCACAGAATCAAGCTCCACCACCATATTATCCCAGCTCAGGTATGGAGAACAAGGCACTGGAACATTCTATGGACTTAGCATTATCTATAGATGACTCGAAATCTCCGAAATATGGCTCCACAGGCGGGTACGCCTACCACGTTCCACCCCATACACAAACTCATCTAGGACAAACCATGCCAAATTCTGATTGTAAGTAATTTAACAAGTTCTATTTTTACTTTTAAATATATTTTCTTATTTACTCAAACTTAAAATTCATTGAACATAATTCTTATATTTAGTTTCTTTGATTTGAATTATATTATGTTTGTTTATTTCTCTTGTGCAATCATTAAGGACTGACTTCAGTCGCCACAAAAGGTAAAACATTAAATATGGGGAAATCACGCTTTGCATGACTTCTATGCTGCCCCACCGAAGGTTTGCCCTGCAAAGTAATAATGTGGTTGTTCACAGGGAACATGGGCTTCATAGAAAACAGTTACACCAACAGCAATAACGGGGGCAGCGTGAACTCTCAAGACTCTCTGTGGCAGATGAAGATGCAAACAGCGAACAATGTTGTAGTTTTAAATTCGCACCAAGTCCTAGACCGACAGAGCAATTACGATTACGATCCGATTTCTCATGCTGGCTATAGGAATATCGATGACTACGCACATTACTCTCACTTACCCAACGCCAGCCAAGCCGCTCCACCCGCTGATTATGACATGAGAGCAACACAGATCCCCTCTCGTCAGGAATACTGCTCTGACCCATATGCCTCCGTGCATAAACCCAAGAAACGTATGGACCAACATATTGGTAAGTTTATCCAAAACATAAGCAAAAATAACATATTGTAGTTATTTACAAGGTTTAATTTTTGATATATTTAACATTCTTGTAAAGGAAAGACCCTTTTATAATTGAAACGTTGCGTAAAACTGGATGGATGTCTGTACTGGGTGCCCCTTCAACAGAGTCACCATACCATGAAGTGAGCGGTCTGCCGGAGTACGGACTTCGAGTAGGCGCGGAGGAAGGCGGCGGAGAAGAAAAGCCACTACACATGTCGCTGGGCTACGACGAGTCGCTAGAGTCGGGCTACTCTACGCCCAACTCGCGTTCGCGTCGCGTAATCCGCGAGATCATCGTGTGAACGCGGCTGTGAGCTGCGCCCCGTCCCCACCTACACTCACAGAACCCCGCCTGAGTGATTACACGCGCAGCTACGTAACTGCAGTAAAGTTTTAAGTGCAACTAGTGCTAAGCACATATTTGTGATAAGTCGATTGAAATATTTTTATACAGGGAACAGAAAATGCTAAAGGGGTTTGTGTCCGAGGAGAATGCTGTTTTTAATGTGTAGCTCGTAACATAGATACCAAAACGTTTTTTTTTGTGGTAACTCTTTGACTGACAACAAACTTCACCTAACGTGTGATTTAATATGCGCCTTGATATTTTGTATTGTTATAAAGTATGAGAAGAAAGAAACATCAATTTATTGCATTATGTAGTATATGCACGTACGAATAGGTTAACAGCTTAACAATATTTACTTATTCAGTTTTAGTTGATTATAAGCAAAGTGACATAGGCTAAACTACGGTTCATGTAATTTTCTTTAAAATGCGCATGAAAAGTGATCATTCCAGATTATTTTAAAATTCTCATTGCACTTGCATCTAAAATTGCCAATAAAATCAATGATTGGTATTGAATTAGTACCATGTAAATACATGATGCAATAAAGAGTTTGCGGATTAAAAGCAATCGGTTTAATTGCAAATTCTTGCTTATATACCTTTGTTGCGAGTATTGTATTGTACTAAAATTAAGTGGCCATAAAATTGGTATATTAATTGTATAATATTTAATCATGTGAGGAAATTTGAGTAAAAAATACAAGTAATAACTTTATTTCTTACAAATTCAATCGTTAATGTTTCGAACCACAAAGCTTCAATGATAACGAAACTGCGATTAATGTGATCTCCGTGTTTAAATATAGAAACAAAAATGACCTACAGTTGTGCTTCATTATTATTATGGAGAGATTTAACGTTAAGCAGCCATCGAAAATTAGGATAGTAATGATTGTGTCAATTTTGATGAAAAAATTATTGTCAGCGGTGTACAATTCATAGAAATGTTACAGAATAAAGTAGGAAAGAGTATAGCAAGAGTTAGTAAGTGACACTTTTATTTAGTTAGAGAAGAGCAAAGAGACCTTCAAAGCAGGAGCTGAAAACACGAGTAATATTTAGCCCCTGAGTTGAAGTATTCGCCTATATATATTCGCCCCCGAGAGGGCGAGAAACCTTTCTGGAAGAACTATTTTTATTTACATCAAACGCTGATTCTAAAGGTTTTTAAAAACTTTTAATCTACAAAAAAAAAGCGAAGACTGAAGACAAACTCTATATCTATGATTTTTGCACGGCTCTTAATTGGATTGAATACAGACTAAACTCTTCTACTCTTTTTGAAATATGTCTATGATACTACGTGTCACCGTGCCCCGAGTTTATGAGTATAGAAATAAATGACATCTCCATTGAACACAACAGCCATCGCACACTCTGTGTTGTAAAAAAACGGATTGAGCTTATTCGAGCTCGTTAACGCCTACAAAAATTGTACGAAAATACAATCTTTTTTAATTTTTTTCATTTCATTTTAAAGCTTTTAAAACCAATGTGTTCTCTGTTGGAAATCGTGGCCAGATTTAAATATGCTAACAATGTACTGAGCTGAAATAATTTTCTCGAAATCCCAAATGCCTTATTCCGCTATCCCGAGACGTAGTCTGGAAATGACTGGATTTTGTATATGAACGTCAGTGATGTTAGGAAAATTAAAATTTTCACAGCTAGTTCAGTAATGGCCGTAATTTTATTTTATTCCATACTGAAATGGTAGTTTATAGAAAAATAATTACCTTTATACTCGAGAATGATACGCAGCGTGATACTTCAGTATAATTAGAATAATGCCAGGTTAAAAGGAATTCATTTACGTTTATTGCATTGGCATGTATACTTATTAATAATATAGATGAAAGATTGCATAGTATGCAGTCGCTTAATTCAATGGGAAAATATACAGTGGGATGGAAGGAAACGTTTGCTTTTGCTTTGTTTACTACAATAAACTTCAAAATAGAAGATGAATAAAGGACTTTGATCATCGAGTCGACCGACAATTATTCCCATTTATTAATTAGGATCCGTTTGCTCTGATCTCATATACCTTTTATCCATTGCATAATCTTTTTCATTAATTTTTATTCTCATAAACTCACAAATTTAAAAATGTATAATAAATAAGTTACGAAAACCACCTGTTATAATTGGTTGTTAACGCAGGACGAGAAATGTGAGCATATAGATAAAAAAATACTTAAATAAAAGATTGATTTACTTACTCTTAGTGTTAAGTACAAAATCGAGTTATTAGAAGGAGTTGTTCTATAAGTATAATATGAATCTAGGTACTCGAATGCTAAAAATACAGTTCGACAGAAACATAGTGTTTTAGGAGGACCCTGCACATGCAGAATATTAGCAACGAGTACCTTTTAGTTGATTTATGTAGGCACTCTATCTTACATAAAGCAACCAAACACCTGAACGAGTACTGAACACGCTTCAGGCACAATTTTAATTGTAAATATACTAAGTACGTACGTTTTACATGTCAATGTTGATGGCAATTTGTAAAAAAATATAAATTTATAAGTATTTTAAGGATAATTACACCTAAACTTAAAGTTATAAACTAAAGTTTCTTTTCTACAAAAAAGTGAATAAAAACTACACAGTGAATAAATAGCTTGTAGGAAAAGAAGAATAAATGCTAATGGAATAAAGTAAAACATCTACATTTTTTAAAGCAAGTCCCATTAAACTCGTCTTACTTATCAGTTAGTTCCTTCTCTGCCATCAACTGATTCAAATTTACGCGTAAAGAACTATGAGTATAAGCAGTAGGACTACAGATACTGTATCCTTAAAGTATAAGACCCGGACAGTTCTCTGGTTACTCCTTGGAGGGCTATATTATAGGGATTGTTTACAGACTTACAACATCTTTTAGAAAAACTTAACCCGAGAAAAGTTCTTGTTATTCACTTGAATTTTTTATTCACTTTAATTTTATCTTATTTCAGTACGTATGGCAACATAACTGTTAGATCTATGTCTCAGATCGATGTTTGTATAATGTTAGTGTGTATATTTCTTTTCGTATTTGTAACCGCTTAGTTGGTTTACTTTTCTGATCTTTTTAAAGTTTAAATATATACCACAAAACTGTATTCCTTAAATTTAGTTTCAATTTTTGTAAGATTTTCTTTTGAAACTTACTTGAAACGACACATAACCGATGTACATTTAACTTTTGGTTAAGTATATAAAACACTCTTGTGACACAAACCGTCCACTCCTATAACTTACTTTCTTTTAAATAATAAAATGTAGTTAATCTTTAGATGAATCTCAATCTACAACATACTGCTGCAACTGCCCACTACGCAGATTTTTTCATTCGTTAAGTCTTTTCGTAAAGGATTGTGTTTCCATGGTGAAGTAGAACAAATAATGCTGATATATTAATTCACCATAATTTATTATTCTATTATATAGCTTTTATTCTATTAAAGCTTTTGTCATCTAAATCTCCTGCTATAACAGATTTATTTACAGCAGCAGATTTTGATATTTATACCGCTTTTATTTACTTTAAAGATAACTGTGGTAATCATTGTATTATAACATGTCACTCATTATGTCATAGTATAGAATTTTTAAGACGATTGGTCATATTAAGAAATTACGGCGAGATAGAAGAATAAATACATTATAGGCAACATGCCTCCACCGAGTCTAAGTACGAAAAATAGTAATAAAACTGTGGAAGTATGAAAATCAAACGCGACTTTGTAAATATTACCTTACATTTTTTTTTATTAGATCGTAATTTAAAGTGAACTAGAGATTATTTTTTTATTAAATAAATTCTATGAATTAAAGTCAAAAGAAGAGAATTTGTATCACTTCTCATATTATTATGTATGTTACAAGTTTTTGGAGATCAATCCTAGTCGGTATTCTTCTTCAACTGTATTACTTTATGAAAATATTATGCTCGGTAGTTTTAAGTTTGGTAGAATTATTTTTTTAAATTTCTAGGAATTTCATAGTTATGTTTTATTTTAATAATAGGTCTTAACCTATGAAGTCTGAGTTTTTTAAAACCAGCATTTTCAGATTTCATTATCTGTGGATTGGCGCGAAATTCGAAAATCAAATCAGTTTTATTCGAACGCCATGTTAAATTCAGTCATTTGTTTTGTTTTTATGCAATTGTGGTAGAAATCAAATCTCCAACTGCAAAGGCAATATAATTCCGTAGAAAATTTGGTATGGGACTTATAAAATACACACAATATAAGGATAGCATAAGCTACCCTCGTATGTTCTCTGCTCCATTTAATAAAAATGGTAACGATTTTCTTGTGACATATTTTTAATGTTTTTTAAAGAAACTCGTAGTAAAAGAAAAATCTGTGTGCGTTATATCCGTGCTAAAATTTTCAACAATTACCTGTGAAACTCACTTAGATACACACATTTAAAAAATAGACAGGCTCAATCGTAAATAGTTCTTCATATGGAAGTAGTTAGTAAGTCTACAACTATTAGGATCATTTCAATACATTTCTGTTTTCAAGAATTCGCGCTCTGCCGGGCATCGGTAATAAATGAAAATAATGTAAATTTCAAAACTACAATATTTTTATTTCTTATAAAAGATTTGTCTTTTGCTTTATTAGTTACTTTATACTTGATACAGCGTTTAGAATATTTGTATTTTTTAATAATATACTTAATTATATTATTATTATATTATTATATCTATTATATTATAAATATACTATGATGTAGCACATATATTTCGGTTATGTTTTTTAATTGCAATCGAATCTCAATTTTATCTCATTTTTTATTGAAGAAAAAAATATTGTATAATCCGTTTAGTTAGTCGAATAAATGGCAAATAGGATAAGGTGCTTAACGTATATCCCTAGTAGTTCGGAATAACTTCGTCATCTGTTACATTTGTCGGTTACCTTCTTTGGCAAACACAAATAAG